CCCGACAACTAGATAATTAAGAATAAGATGTATGTACCATTAAAAGAAGAACTATTTAAATTATTGCGTTTCGTCTAGTATGTGAATTGGCCGAGAACATCACTTTACTTCTAAAGTCGATTAACACAACATCTTATCTGACACTTGCCCCATTCACTCGAATCTGACATTGGCCATATATTTACAAAGCAGTTCCTGCTATTGTACGATTGGGCTCACAGAGCTGGGCGCGAAGTGAAAAGACTTTTGCGTTTTGTCTGGCTTAATGGTTGGAAACGCATGTACATCTCCATGGTTGTCACGTAACATCATATGATCCGTCCGCTGGCTCTTACTTAATAATAAAAAAAACAATTATTACCATCAAATATATCTTTTCAACATGTACTACGATAAGATTATCACGCCTCAAGCGCAGCAGCTACCCTTAGCTACCCAACCAGATAGAACCAACAACCGAGTAGATTGTAGCCTTGCTAGTTCCTATCCAGCTGAATAGGAGCATAACGCTCCGCAATGATTGTCTAGGACTACGCTAAGTCGCTTGAACTCTTCCAAGTCCAGGCTTCGCGGGGGGAGGCAGGTCCCATAAGGCACGTTGTTAGCGCGCGCAACCGCCAGAACGCGATGTAGGAAGTCGGCGTTTAGCTCGGACGTAGTGCTTACGAGCACCGCGGACGTTTAAAAAATCTCTTTCTTGTTGTAAATAAATATATAAATAATTAAAATCCAATATCGAACACTACGTACAACAATCGCTTAGATATTATAATATTGCGGGCCCTTATTTATACTTTACAGAAAAAATTAATGACAGTTAAGTACTTGTATACCTAGTTAGATACCACAAAAGAATACAGTTTATTCCATTTCAACAATGATCAAGTGTTGTTATTACAATATAATAAACTGAGACATTTAATTATTCAAGAGACGACAGACAAGAAATATTTGGCAACTATTTGTATGCCTTATGAATAAAAGCTTCAGAGTTTATTAATATTCATATTTTATCTTTTATTATCAAATACATTATTGACAACTGAAAATTTTCTTCTTACTCACTTATTCCACCTTTGTTGGGGTCATCAAAACAAATGAATCATGTTGCTAATGGTATTGGATAGGATTTTTAATACTTTCTTGGGAAAAAAACACCCAGATCAGGTTGCATTATATGTCGCCAATAACTTAAATTGAACCGAAGCCAGTGCTCTTCCGAGTTAACAACTGCAAATTTATATATTGACAACTGTAAGTGATTAAGATAAGTTCCTCATATAAATAAATTTATAGTTCGGCCTTCATTATTACAAGTTTTAAACAATAAATAGAGAATGCGATAAGGAAAAACACTCGTGCCCATCGGCAAGATTATCTAATCTAAACAAAAATTTCTTATAAGAAATGCAACACATCAACTAATTCCAGAAACAACAGTATCGAATACATCATACTATACTACAATACTTGTATAATACCACTACTATATTAAGAATGCATTACATATTTTACAAAAGGCACTTCATTGGAAATGTTGAACACAAACGGCATTATATCATATGGCGGTGAAGAAAACGAGATCCACAAATAAAAAAGTGACGTTAGAATAGTTTAACAGGCTCTGATGTAACGCTCTCCGCATAGATCATGGTTTTGTCTAGCGTAGGGATACATATATTAACTATTAGTTAAGTTTTTTGCCTCTTAATCTTAAATATATTGGCTGTTAGTTTAGTTCTTCATCTAATAATGAAAGCGTAGTCCAATTTTTCGGGAGTTATCTGATCATTTTCGAAATTATACTATTGACTGTATCCCACACCTATAACGGTCGAGTTCCAAACGTCCGTTTTGCTCGACAGCGAGTGCGGTCACGCGCGCCGCCTCGTTTGATGCACGCTCCAAGGAGCGCGGAGTTGCCGGCCGAGACAGCCCGCGGTCCGTGCAACTCGACCGGGGAGAGTCCAACGTTACGCCACAGTCGATAGAGTCGAGTCTCTTACCAGGCAGACTTACTACGAGGAGAAACACTTGCTGTTAAACAAGTCCGTTTTCAACCTACTACAAAAACGGAGGAGGTTACCAACAATTCGACTGTATTCTTTTTTATGTTTGTTACCTCAGAACTTTCGATTGAATGAATCGATTTTGATGATTCTTTGTTTATTTGAAAGCTGGCGCTTCCCAAAAATGGTCATCTATTAACGAAAAACAAAACCGACTTCAAATATGTCTTTCAAATATGTGGGTGGCCATCGGTGGTAGGGCCACGCAGCAGCCTCGGCTGTTGCACGAATGGGCAGGCCCGTCCGGGTAAAGTGGAAATTTGACAAATACTTTCGCGTTTCGTCTGGTGAGTGAGGTAGCCGGAGCCCAATTTTCAAAAGGTTGTCAACGCATCTGTAACCTTCGGGTGTAGCAGATGTCCATGGGCGGCGGTATTCACTTACCATCAGGTGAACCGTCTGCTCGTTTGGCAACTTTTCTCATTAAAAAAAAAATATCACGGTCTGTATTCATTTTATAATTGACTTCCAGAAGTTCCTTGAGTATCTCCGGAGCCCAAGATCGAATACCAATGAAATTAATATGGGACCGCATGGGAGGCACCAGCTTTCAAATAAAAAAAGAATCATTAAAATGGGTTCACCCAGTGGTAAGTTCTGAGGAAACAAACCTAAAAAAAATACAGTCGATTTGAGAACCTCCTCCTTTTTGAAGTCGGTTAAAAAGATGCAACTGCTCCCGTTGCAAGTTTCAACATTCAGAGAAGTTTTAAGACTAACAAAGGACATCTAAAATATCTACAGTACAGAACATCTACAGCCTAATGCTTACACCGGTCGAATGCAAATGCTGGTCCTCTCTAAAGCACGTTACTTCGTCGGACGAGTCGGCATTATCATGCATCATTGAACAAAGGTCTTAAACGGAAATTTCTAAATGTATTCGATGCAGGACAGTTCATTTTACTTTCCTTATTTCAATGTGAGATATTTAAATTGTGAATTTCACTTTGGTAGGGCTACGCAACAATCTTCGCTGTCTAAAATATTATTTGTATTTGCAAAATTATTTCTCATTGGAAATGAATTTGAAATTTTATTTGAACAATATCATAACTTTAAGTCATATAACTACTTGTGTTCCTTCAAAAGTATTCCCTTCAACATTCCATCTTAACTAACCACCAAGCAGAGCCATCTACCGGTACATTAAAAATGTACATATCATTTAGGGTCAATAAAGTAATGTTTTTAACGGCAGTATGCATGTAGCTTGAACATTGGCTTTAAATAATGTTTTTCTTTAAAGCCAATGTAATATAAAAAGTTCGTCATTGTTATTTCCTAGTTAAACTGGCTCAGTTCTACTAATTAAGTGAAAATCGTACACATGTTGTAATTATACACATGTCCTCAATTAACAATCATCCAAGTTATTGTTTTAACTTTAAATATGGCCGAATGCTTTTTGTAGTAGTAACTTTTCAAAAATAAAATAACTTCATTCATAACTTATTGTAATAGATGGGAACATTTTATGAGAAAATTTAAACATGAAAAGAACAAAAAATAAATGTTCATTGAAGTAGACCATGACGTCAAATTTATTGTATTTATACGTTATTTATTCCAAATGAAATTAGAGATGTACTCAAAATGTAAATATGTCTAGAGTTTATAAATAGCAAAAAATGCAACATTGCTTTTAGTAAAGTTGCATCGAATTCTATTGCTGTTTTGCATTGGTCATAATGTTTGAGAATTATTTCTTCAAAGTTAATAGAGACTTACCCAGGTAATTTCCCTGTCACTTGGTACAATTTACATAACCTCTGAATTAATTTCTAATTAGAATGTACCTATCATATAAATATCTGCATGAGCTAATCGGGGGAGCTGTTGTAAATTTATATACTTAATAGAAAAATATAATAAGTATGAGACTGCTGATGTCCTGTATCGCTGACACGTATGTCAAATATGTATTAAGCATTATGTTGGCAACACTAAAGGAAGTCGTTCCTTGAGGTTGTTGGCAATACTAAAAGAAGTGTCATTCTGTGGGGTATAAATGAAGCTGCAAGAAGCATTCTGGGGCCGTCATCGTGGTCTTCGTCGTAGTCGTCGTCTTCTTTGGCTGTCAAACCAGAAGTATACACGATAGTGCTGCCCAATCGGTATCGGCAATTTAATCGTTAGAGTGGTGTTTCATTAGTATTATTAAAGTGATAAAATAAGTAATTATACCAGTGTTATTGTTGTGCAAAGTGAAACTACGGTGATTTGGTAAAAGTATTTATATATCTACCTTCTTAGCTCGATAAAACCAAGTTTAGCTAACAATTAATTGAAAAGTTTAGATGGTTTGTTGAAAAAACGAACTTTAGGTCTTGTTAAATTCGCAATAAACAAGGTTCTTCAAAACCCCTTCAGATATAAACTAGTTTTATTTATTAGCAGTCCCCCGTCCCTATAGTGTTAGGGATCGAGTAATGGTTTCTTTGAGACATTATCTCTTGAGGGGCGCTGGCGGCGCGTGCTCATTGACCACGTGCTCTTTGACAATAGGGTTGGCGGGTATTTAGTTATTTTTTTAAATTAATTTTATTATTTACAATTTTTTCTTTGAAATGAATGAATAAATTATCTATTTCTCATATGCAATGTATGTATAAGTAATAAGATATCTATAATTGTAACAGAAATAAGTACATGAAATAAATATTTTTGTATTTTGCATTGTATTTGTATTATGTTATAATGACATTAGTTCTCATGCAAATTCGTACTTTGGCAACAATGCAATAATAATGTCGCATCATCTAAATTGTTTTCGAACGTTTAAAAAAACACGTTCACTTCATATTAGCAATAAGATCACATTGCTCCTAATCGCATTAAACTATTTTCTCAATAAATGAGTCTTTGCAAAACAATAATAAAATTCATGCCACGCGATTACGCTGTTTCACGGACGCAATACTGAACGTAATGCACACTTTAGCAATTAAAAAAGAAACAAACACGGGCGGGCGCAACACTATCGACGCTCTGGGGCCCGCGCGAGGGGAGGGGTGCCTAACCTTGGTGTATGCAGCTGCCCCGCGGATCACCTGCCTCGGCCGCCATATTGCCTTGACAAGTACGCGCCGCAAAACACTAACTCTTAACTGCAAACAAACATTTGGGCTATGCCAACGCAGCGTTCGCTTTACGTGACCCGAGTTTGCGAGTTAGTAGCGAGGTTTTTGCCGGTTATTAACTGCGCTGTTTGTTTTGCTAATAGAATAGTGCATTGTCTATGACCTTTAGAATACGACATCACGCTGACATATCTTGTTTTCGCGCCAATTTTGATAATCTTGGACATAAAAAGGAACATTTTTTTTTAATTTTCTATTCTTATTATGAAATCTCGTCAATTTATAAGAATACCACTTTCTTGAAATATAAATTAAATTGTAAATAACAATTTCCATCAGATAACTTATCATTTAGTTATTATATACACGTTATTATATACATATATGCATTAGGAAAATACATGAAAATTTTGTTTCATTGCAGGGTCTAAGCCTTAAGTTGTCAATGAATACTTAAATGGAAAGCTGCTTGTGTGAATATTAGAAATCTGAACGCAATATTTACTCACGATAGAACAATACAAAGCAAGCATTTAGACGTTCAAACAATATATACCTATATATTTTTTTTAATAATTCATCATTTATAGTGCTCTTTTAAAATACCGATACTAGTTAGACATATTACAGTGCAAATATAATGATATGAAAAAGCATAATCAGTTTGTCAATGATAGTTCTCCACTTCTCAAATACTAAACCGGACATTAAACCAAAAGATGTAGTGATGATATAGACAAACTTTTATGGTATAGATTATTCGTTACTTTTCTGCAGCCCACCGTGTGATTAATTCGCTTAATAAATACAAACTATACCTAGTCCACATTACAAATACTTTCTATTTCAGAATCGAGCCCAGTACCCGTGGCGACAGAAGCGCTCAGCAACTATGAAACCGACCCATTAAAACTGGCATGACAATACAATCAATACATCATGCCAAATAAAACGTGTCACGTAACAGACTGATGACGGACGGATTTAAAGTGAAAGAAAAATGGCCTCATTAAAATTAACTTGCTCTAACGGACAATTGACAATAGGAGCTATAGCATCCAATGCATCCGTCGACTTAATTTGACAGCGCACGCACTTGAGAATCACTTCGCTGATTGCACTCTCGATTGTAACAATCGTTAATGGAATAAAGCTGTGAATGGAATAATTAATTATTTCATTATTGTTTGATAACGACTGTATTATGCCCTGATTGTTATTAATGACGGCAACTTTCATTTTAATAGACTTTCACATAGGTAACGGTTATTTCCAAATTAAAAAGTCTTTTCCTCTTTACAGATTTGATTCGTCTTTTATAAATAGAAACATTCATAACGTAAGCTTAAGAAATAACTTTTGAAATAACAAATAAGGAAACTGTTGATAAATAAAAGAAAATGTAAAAACTTTAGTTTTGCGTTGTTTATTAAAATTTATTTCTCACAAATCACCATAAACACGTTTTAGTGTCACATCCTTCAAAAATGCTTTGCAGATTAAAAATTATTAGTTATCAAAATAATGCCACACGTTTTTGTTTGTTAAAAATTTTATCCTGAAACAAAAACTTAGTTAAATTGAAACGTCAATAAAGTAAAAAAAATAAAATTGCCATCTTGATAGTAACTTATTTCTAACGGGCATTTGCTTTTGACAGGTAATATATTCGTCAATTTATGATTTCCTTTAAAGATAATATCATCTTTTTAATTATAAGTCAACAGTCGCCTAACGACGTCCTTTCGCGAGTGTGCAGGTCATCTCTAATATAAGGCTACATACGGTAGCAGAGTACTGGCATTTCCTACAAAAATATCTATTAAAAAATTTGGTATGAGTAAAATAATCATAATAATAAAAAAACAGCTCGAATATTTCATATTATTTTGGTTAACTTAATACTTTAAGATTGAATAAAATGGAATTAATGGAATTAAAGGAAAAATTCTACGAAAGACTAGGCGGTATGGTCGAAAGACTGCCTGCGCCATGGGCGAAAACAAAAATAAAAAAAAAATCTAAAATGGTGGTATAACTGTTGATGAATTGTCTGTACGGAGAAATCCGAAGACGTTAAACTACAACACTATCCCAATATTATATTTGTCAAATTGAAAATTTTACATTTTGACAGTTTAAGGCGCGGGGCACATAGAGGAATTGGTTTACCTTGATAAACATCATAGGAAACTGCAGGTGACAGTGAAATAACGCGAACATATACATATACGTTGCAATGTTGGTTAATTTGAAAGTTTAATTGGCCTATGGAGTCGAACTTTAGTTCTGCTATCGCGAAGAACGTTGGCCCGTCCCCAATTGGTGTATATCTCGCGTATAAATCAACGGACGCGATAGTCGAGTTCTAATGACCGGAACAGAAATCCGACGGGGCACCTTGCACGGTGGAAAAAATTGGGCTGATGCGAAAGGCAGGTGATGGGGACCATTAATGACTTCGGGTGGTGGAACGGTGTTCTTACTCGACTTAAGCCGACGCGTTCTGCTTTATTAGTGTACTAGCGACCCTCCCTGGCTTCGCACGGGTGCAATGTATTATACATATAAACCTTCCTCTTGAAGCACTATATCTAGTAAAAAAAACCGCATCAAGATCTGTTGCTTAGCTGGTGCGATCATAGTCTGAAGATTTCAAGGAGTTTTGGGAAGTAAATTTTTCAAGATAATTAAATTATCTGTTACTTTAATATTTTTTTACATATAGAGTAAATTATCAATATAATAAAAAATAAAACTCTGCGATAGCAAATAAAAAGTTGAATTAAACTTAATTTTAAATGAATTACTTGCAGGCGAAAACATTTTATGTTAAAAAAATATTTCACGATTTTCCACAAGAGCACTCGATATCAGCCCTGCCACAGGCGTCTTATCACTGTTTAAATGCAGAACAAATATATATTACAAATAAACGATTCCTCTTTTGAAATGTTCCTTCTATAAATCTGTATATCTTAATGTCTAAAGTGGAATCTATATATTAATACGTGAAGCAGAAAATTTGTACCCCTTTTTATGAAAATTGCGCGGACGGAGAAGTATTAAATTTCGCACACTTATAGTTTGTAATAGAGAAGGAATGCAGAATGCTAATATTTGCAGAATGCTAATGCTTACACACACCCATATACTATGGGTATAATACTCATATAACATACTAATTAATTATGGTAGAATTTGGACCATTGGGGAACTACTAGTATAAAATTAATACGTCTGAAGTAAGTTATATACAATATAACCTGAGAGCTCGTTAGCTAAATGCTTTATTCTAGAGTTTGCACAAAGAAAACGAAAGAGTTGACAATTAATGATACTCAAATACGCATCAAAGAAAATGTGAAATGATAACGAAGAAGCACTACATCAATAAGATATATAACTCATACTATTAAAATAAAAGCGCATGCTCGCTCACGTCTGCCCTTTCTCAATTAAATCGAATTCATTAGATAAGAGGAGAGTTTGACTAAAGCATCTGTCGGAACTGCTGGCGTTTGTATAAAATTAGAGCTTATTGTTTCAAAGTCCAAAGGTGACTGACCGGTTTAGCTTTGCCACGAAAATAGATGATTCCATTGTAACAACATTGTGTTCATTCTTAAACGCTTATTCAAGCCTCAGGAAATATCTTTCTTGGGTTTAACTAAAACATGAATAATAAAATGTATTTTCTCACAAAGCTGTGCGGAGTCGAGGCTCACAGAAGATCGGCGTAAAGTAGAAGTGTTGCACTTCTGCGTTTCGTCTGGTGAGTGAGGTAGCCGGGGCTCACATTAAGAGGTGGCAACGCATCTGCAACCCTACGGGTGTTGCAAATGTATGAACATTTGCAAATTCCGTAGGGTTGCAGATTGATGCTGATATTAACCGCCTAGGCGATTATCACTTAACTGTTTTTAGTATCGTAGTCCTGGTTTTGCCCATTGCATTGGGAGTTGTCCAAAAGCGACATTTTATTCGAATTATCATTGTAAAACTTTATTTAAAATTACTTGTGAACTGTAAAGGACATAACAATAGGTTCACCAAGCATAAAATGTGAAAAAAAAAACATAAATACGTTAAAATTTTCGTCAGCGTGGTAATCAACCGTTTAGATTGGTAATTAAAGCGATTCCGGTAGACGCGGGTTCGATTAGGGTTAGCAGGCCATGTTTTATTATGAATAATATAAGCTCAGGTAAGTTGTTCATACGAACTTTTGAAACGTTAAACCAAGGAGGGGGAAGTTTATTTATTTAACGTTGTTACAGTACCATGACCTATTCATTTTGAGTTAAAAAGACAAATAAGTGCAGAATTATTCAAATTGTACCTTTTATTCGTTTTGTCATTTCCAGTGACATGATGACTTAGTCCAAAGATAGCTTGAACACCTTGAGGCATTCTAACGGAAGAACAAAAACTGTGTTACGTTACATAATAAGTTAGACGCATTAAAACAGCGAATAGCAAATGAGTTTGTAACATGTTGACTCTCTTATCTCTGTTTACCCTACTGAGGGTAGGAGGTGACACTGTCTTCTTTCTTTCCTTTACTAAACATATCTCGCACTTAATAAATATTTGTACAAAGTATAATACAGTCTTGGCCCAAGTCAATGTGGATGACACTAACTTTTGTATCGACTTCATTCACAGCACGTAACGGCAGTACGCGAGGTGGTCAATTATTGCGCTACCAAAAGCATTTATATATTACCAACGGTAAGTCTGTATACATAAACAATAATATAAGCTTCTCACATAACGGAAAGGGTTATCGCTAACGTCTTTACGGTATAAAACCTTTTTTGTCGAGGAAGGTGGGATTTAAAAAGTTGGGGCAGATGTCAGGGCGGCGGGTAAGTCTCGAACAATTAAGGAAGGAGCCACCGGATCGTTAGAGCGATTTTTAGACGGCCGCTTGTCTACCAGTCCCCATTGTGAATAGCCATTGTGTGTAAAACGAAATCTTCCAGGTACAATCGCTGCAATGCGTTTCTATGTTTGCTTTCGCCTACTCACGCAGACTTAATCGGGGAAGGGAGAATTGGGCTGGCATGAGAAGAGTTAGCGACAGCGACTTTGAATAACGGTAGGGTAGTAATCTAATCCTTGTATGACGTAGATTAATTACAGAAAAATTCAATGAACAATAGAGACAATCCTAGATTCTTTACATACTTTCTTAATCTATAAACTCTAATATTCTTACCTTTAGCAGTCTCTAAATAAATTTTAACGGTGTCAGTAAGTACATTAATGATGATAGTACCTTTTTAAGTGCTTATGTCATTTTCTTTCATTATATATGACAAACACACATTTCTTTTAAGATGTTTAAAGAGTTTTAAAACAGTTCCGAGTTCAACCACGTGGTGTGACGATAAATGTCTGTTAATTTTTTTTGCCTTCATCTATTATAAAAATGTTTCGATACTTTAATTAAGAGTGTGCCGTGTGTGATGCCTAGGTTCAGTTATTTTTCCAATAAGAAGCTATCTCTATGTGAGTTCAAGTAAGCATTAATTGTTGATTCAAGAGTTTGACCGCGAGGGCTCAATGTATTGACTCACATCAGGCATCCGTCTGCAAGTTTTCGATCCATCCAAGAGCACCTTGTGTTTTCCGGAGCGTCATACAATTTCTATAAGTTTTGTTTATCATAGCCGTTCAACAGCTGCGCAATTTACATAGTAGTAGATTAATAATACACATATCGTCGGTTACGCCGCGCGTCGGGTAGGCCGAGTTTATTTCACGGTCGGTACCGCTACGGGCGAGGCGAGGCAGCGCGGTACGACAACACCTGTACGGAATGTAACGGGATCCAGCTTTTTGCGGTCGCCTGGCTGCAATTAATCAATAAAACGTAAAAATGGACGCGACGCGACGTATCAAACTCCGCA